GAATCCAGCACATCACATTACCACCAAAACCTGCACTGCCAAGACAGGTCGGTGTCACACACACTTTGACATACACACAGGAAGAGAAAGCAAGAAAGAAAGAAAGAAAGGAAAACAGACAGACAGACAGGAAAGGAAGTTGAAAAGGAAGGAACACAAACAGTAGAAAAGATGAATATCAGATAGGAAGGAAGGAAGAAAGACAGGAAAGGAAGGAACAGACAGACAGGAGGAAATACAAGAAACACAGAAAGACAGATAGGAAATAGGACGGACAGACAGGAAAGGAAAGGAAAGGAAAGGAAAGGAAAGGAAAGGAAAGGAAAGGAAAGGAAAGGAAAGGAAAGGAAAGGAAAGGAAAGGAAAGGAAAGGAAAGGAAAGGAAAGGAAAGGAAAGGAAAGGAAAGGAAAGGAAAGGAAAGGAAAGGAAAGGAAAGGAAAGGAAAGGAAAGGAAAGGAAAGGAAAGGAAAGGAAAGGAAAGGAAAGGAAAGGAAAGGAAAGGAAAGGAAAGGAAAGGAAAGGAAAGGAAAGGAAAGGAAAGGAAAGGAAAGGAAAGGAAAGGAAAGGAAAGGAAAGGAAAGGAAAGGAAAGGAAAGGAAAGGAAAGGAAAGGAAAGGAAAGGAAAGGAAAGGAAAGGAAAGGAAAGGAAAGGAAAGGAAAGGAAAGGAAAGGAAAGGAAAGGAAAGGAAAGGAAAGGAAGGAATATCAGAGAAAGGAAAACAGAGCCAGAAAAGGAATGTAACACAGACAGACAAGATGAAAGGAAGGAAGATAGGAAGGGAAACAAAAAGACAGGAAAGGAAGTGAGAAAGTATGGAACACAGACAGGCAGAAAGAAAGGACGGATCAGATAGAAAGAAAAGATGGAACACAGACAGAAAAACAATGATGAAACGGACAGGAAGGAAGGGAATCAGACAGAAAGGAAGGAAGACAAAAAGGTAGGAACAGACAACAAGAGAAAGAAAGAAAGAAAGAAAGAAAGAAAGAACGGGAAGGGACACAGACAGGAAGAAAGAAAAAGAAGAAAGAACAAGGAAGAAAGAAAAAGGAGAAAGAAAAAGGAAGAAAGAAAAAGAAGAAAGAACAAGGAAGAAAGAAAAAGAAGAAAGAGCAAGAAAGAAACACAACCAGAGAGAAAGGTAGGAACACAGATTTGAAGGAAAACAAACAGTCAGGAAAGTGAGAAAGAAAGGATCAGACAGAAAGAAAGATGGAACAGACATAAAAACAAGAATGAAAGAACATTGACAGGAAGGAAGGGAGTCAGACATAAAGGAACGGAAAAGGAAGGAAAAGACAAAAAGGAAGGTAGAAATACAGACAGGAAGGAAGATAGACAGATCAGAAAGGAAGGACAGGAAAGGGAGGAATAGACAGACAGGAA